CATTAAAATACATCTTGAAGCAAAATACATTCAATAGCATAAATAATTAAACACTATAAACAAATGACAAATAAAACAGCCTAATAGCAGAGGGTGTAGGACACTTGCACTGCATTAAAATAGATCAGGGCTGAAGTGACTGAATTATGCTTTGTCAGGAAGAGAGGGATATCAATATTGTGAGGCAAACTCTAACCAATCCATGTACCACAGACTAAATCCTCCTGACAGGGATTGTTCCTCTAAGATTGTTTCTCGAGTAGCATGGGGAAAGTGGAGAAAGTGACCCTGAGGTCACTCCTGAGCTGCTCTCAGAATTTATCTGTGCCATCTGCAGTGTATCGTGGTGGTAACTTACACTGATGGACATTGCTCAAGAGTCTTTTCATATTGTCTTAGGAGGCCATATTCCCTGAAATGGCTTGATGAGGATGTTGTTTCCCATCAGTCCTGTCATATTTCACCACGTTAAAGCACGTTTGTCTGTAGAAGTGGCACTGTGTTCCGCAGGTGACTTCTGCAGTCTCTCCGAGACTGATGCAGCTTCATGAATGTAAAAGCAGTTTTGCCTGTGACATTTTCCCCAAAGCTCCCAGTTGGTCTCTGCTCTTTTATCGAAAGGCTCTTGTTGACTTAGTGGCTGGCATCATGTCTGGAACTTGGTAAGACTGTAGGCTGTCCATGCACAGCCCTTCCCCACCAGGCCAGACGTGCGGCATGGTGTGAGCGGGGGGAAGAGGAGACTGGGAGAGATGAGAGGGGGTAAGATGACTTTAAGCTGAAAGAGTGGAGGTTTAGATTAGATATTAGGAAGAAGTTCTTCACTTCTTCACTGTGAGGGTGGTCAGACACTGGAACAGGTTGCCCAAGGAAGTTGTGGATGCCCCCTCCCTGGAAGTGTTGAAGGCCAGGCTGGATGAGGCTTTGAGCAATCTGGTCTAGTGGAAGGTGTCCCTGCTGCTGGCAGGGGGGTTGGAACTGGATGATCTTTAAGGTTCCTTCCAACACAGACCATTCTATGATTCTGTGATGGGTACAATAAAACAAGATTTCAGATAATTCCTTTGTTACATATAGTGCTGTGAGGAGTATTTTAAAAACATTTGGAATGAAGCAAGAAGTGCTTAATATTTTTTTCCTGACCTTGAAGCTGACCAAAGCAATAGCAGTAAGGCTGAGATGTCACCTGGACCAGAGCAGGCTGCCCGCCCTTCCCTACCCTGCCCCGCGTTACCGTCTGTAACGTTCCAGTGCCACCGTGCGGTGAAATTACTCAATAATGTCATTATTGCCGTTATTTAGATCAGCACATGTCACCATTGGACAGCCTGCAGTGTTGCACCCACTGGTGAACCCCTGTTATTAATTAATGATGAGCTGTTCTTAGGTTTTCCTTCCCTTCTCCAAAATGAGCAGTGCAGGTGGTGCGATTGCCTTTGCCTCTTGCTGTGTGATGTCTCCCAGCTTCAGGACAGAAGAGCCTCATGTGCTCGGTTGAGGAGCTGATCGTTCTTGATTGATTTATTGGTGCAGTTCTGCTCATTCATGTGACTAGGCTGTTGTGAAGACAGATGTTATGTCCTTTATGTGTCAGTTTGGCATATTAAAACTCTGACTGGGACATTAGAAATTCCCACTCTTTCAGCATGAAGAAAAAGGAAAGAGGATCTTTATCCACAGGACAGCAACTGTCTGGAGACACCAGTTAAGGGGAGCATTAGGATTGAGATCTGCTGCCCTGCTAACCTCATCATCAGGGCTGCTTAGGTAATTGTCTTACTGCTAATTTAATGACAGCGAAGTTGACTTTGCCCTTATTTTATGCTCATCAGAACACCCCCAAGTGTTTTTATGTATTTTTGTTCTTTTAATTTTATACCATTGATTTTTCCCCTCCTCTGGTGAGAAGTAACAGTTACGTTATTTGTATTTATTATATGATGGGTCAAGATTCCAGGGGAGAGGCAGCACTTCATCGGCTGAAAAACAGACAAAGTTTTAGGTATGCAATCTCTTCAGGACTGATGTTGATAAAAATCTAAATATGGATTGAAAAAACAGTTCCATGTTTAACTTGTATGATTCAGTTAGGTAACTTCAAACAGACATAAAGGGGTTGGTGCTGTGGAACAGAAAGGAAGTGCTGGCAAATAGAAAGGTGATGGTATAATTAACCCCTAGGAGATACAGACATGTAATTATTGGTTGTGGGAGAAGTATGGACATCATAATTTGCCACAAAACCAATCTCTACTGAGACTATAATGTTAAGTATACAATAATTATGAGTGTTAAGTTCTTAAGCTCAGGATCAGACTTAAGAGGTCACAGATAAAGTGGTTATTTTGTAAAAAATCATCTCCTTTATTCATTTTCTGCAGGAGCACACACTGGTGAACAAGTTTGATGCTTTCCCCTATGATTTATACAAAAGCATTTAAAATTGTGTGACAAACCAAAGCTACTACACACCCATCTCTTTATTTTGATGAAAGGCATTCATTACGGATTCACGGCGGCACGTTTTGCATTCGTGCTCTTGCAGGGTCTGGCTCCAACCAGCGCATGGTGCTGCTGAATGTAGTCGAGTTACGGGATTGTTTGAAAGGAAGGAGCTCTGCTTGGGTTAGCATATATCAGACAAGGAAGAATACATTCTTTTGGCAGCATAATTCAAGGAGTTGAGTGGATTTGTAGAAAGATATAAAAATATTTGCTCTGATAGACGTCCTTTGGCCTAAATAACCACAGAACACTAGAGCTTTTGGCATAAACCACACAAAAAAAGCACCTGAGTATTATTGTTCCTATTTTAAGAGGAATTGGGAAATTTAATAAATCACTTTAAGGTCATATAAAACCCTTAAAGAACTAGAGATAGAGGTTGAAAAAAAGGTTGAGTTCTGTTTTAGATGGTTTCTCCAGAAAGCTGCCATTTATCCCCACTCGTATGTAACTTTATAACCACTGCTCATACACAGATGAGGGCAAAGCTTGAGGAAGTGCCCGTTTTCACTGTTCCCCAGGACCCTTAGGGGATTACAGAAATTGCTATGTTTGTATTTCATTGATGAAAAGGAAAGAATACCAACATTTTAAGGGAACAATTGTATAAAAATACAGTACAGTGCTCTGGACTAACCTTTAAAGGCAGATCTACAAGGGTCACATATTACAGGGCAATAAATGAAGGGCCTGTTACTCTCTAGTAGAGGTGGAAAAAAAATAGGGTAGAAGAAAGAGTATCAAAGTGAAACATTTTCATGCATTCCTATCTCCCTTTGCCTGCACTTGTTCTAATGTGAAACAAACTTTCTCTT